ATATACTTTATTAATTTTAAATTTTAAAGACATATTCACTTTGCGCTTTCATGAAAAGGCTTTTATATCGCTGCGGAACACAGTGCTTAAAGCGCTTTGTTGGTATCTTATGAGCGGCCGACGCGTTCTGCCTCCCCCTCTCTCATAACAGGTTGCTCGCATACCGTTTTGAGCGCCAATTTCGTGCCTCCCTGGATAGGGACGCCGACTTGATCCGTGGATAACGTTATGATAACACCACTAAAATATTTTTACTCTGTAGACTATAGACTATATAAGTCTTTATTCTCTATTTTAAAACCCCTTTTAATATCTACATAGGCCTTAGATACGGTTACAATATTTTTTTTAATTTTTATGGATATTCAAATTTAAAAGCCCAAATTTTACTTTGTAACCAAACGGAAAACGAACATTCTTTCTCTAGGCACTGTGCAACTTCCGGAAAATATAAAAGTCTCTAACAAGATGTGGGCATATGGGGAATTTTCTTTTTTGCTTAAATTTAAATATTTAATTAGTTTTCTTTTGGGTATGTTATGTAATTATAAAATCAAATCACTTCAGAAGTAAATTATTCTTATCGCAAACAGGATTGTACTCATTTAACCATAACAGAGTGCCTCATCTTCATCTCTTACTGTCAAAATATGTTTACGCTGTAATACGTCTAATAATAATTATTGCGTCTAATTCGTTACGGGCTGTATATAGCTAATTCATTTGATCTTAAACTGCTTTCATAGTTTAGATCTGATGTTTAGTTTCTAAGATATGAAAAAGTGTATATGTGTCTTTATAAACAACTCATTACAGCCGTCCTAGCAAATGACTATATAGATATAAAAAATCAAGTCAAACCCGTAGCTTGTTGTTTTTGAGCCATCCAAACAGAGAGAAGCTATCGAAAGTTTTTCACTGATAATGTGACTGATCGTAGCGATGTTTTGCTCTTTATTCGATGTTTATGTTGCCGTTTATTTTTTAAGCAGTATGAAACGAAAGAAAGGTATTTACTTCATATGATAATGCTACAAGTACTCTTACAGCTACAAATATCCAAATTATAAAAGATACATTGATAAACAAAATATAGGAAACAGAAAACACAAGTCATTAATAGATTAAAAAAAATTAAAAATAATGTTTAATTTTAAACAAACTATAACTAAATACTTTAAAGAAAAAACTGATATTACTGCTGAATAAAGTCAAAGTCTTCCCGCTTCTTAAAATATTTCCTAACATTTGGTAAGGTGGAAAATGTCTACATCTTCATAAATTGGCGAACTACGCAGATAATTCGAGTTCGTACTACGTACGTAGCCACATGGAACAAATGTGAATATCTTTTAACTATTTAAATATTGAGAGTATATATCATACATACATACGTACGTCTGCAATCTAAATTTAAAATATAATATTACAAAACTATTGCTTCCATTAAATGCAGTTACGAATACCAAATAATAATGTGAATATGAGAGGGATAAAAATAAAACTATTTCATAAAAAAAATTTATTGCCGTGTCAACATCTATACTAATGTAAAAAAAAAATATTGCTTTACAGTCATTTTCAGAATCACATTGCAGTCTTTTATATTCCCGACATGGCAATTACATATGTTCGCGTTAATAATTACGCGAAGATTTAGATGATTAGAGACATTTAAGATGAATTTAAATTATTAATTTCATTTCATTACAGCTATGAAAAAATGTACTGTTATATTATACTTACGAAATCTTTATAAAGCATTACATATAGGTACGGTTGTTTTTTTTTTGTAAAGATAACTTTATTTTAAATTCTTTTCAGTCGGTACCTCATCTGAGCGTCATGGTCAGCAAGTCCTCTCTTATTACATATTATATACAGTTTTGAGGACGATGAGTATTTCCCTTATCATCACCTATGCACATTGTGTAGCCGAATTATGAGTTAACATGGTCAGTCCGCATGCGGAGTTTCATCGTCATCATTTCAAAGGCATTAATCCTTTGCATTTTTAGAGCCAGGATTGTCCACGTTTCTACTACATTAAGAGGGAGAAGGGAATACTAGAGCACGTATCAATCTGATTTTGGTTTTGAAACTAATTTCTCTTTTCTTACAGATGTTGCTTAAACCAGGTATGGCATATGTAGCCATGCCTATTCGCCTTTTTATTCATTGTCTTGTACAAACGTTGTTAATACAAAAATTTCAAATCAATAAAAATATTAAAAAACTCGTTTATTTTCAAATCTAAACCATTCTCGAATCCAATTGAACACACACTCAAATCGGTCCAGCCCCATAGGATAAGTTTAATTTCAAACACCCGCACAGAAGACACACATAGATTATTGGTATTAAATCCCTTTCTAACACACAAATAACCAGAATGGTAAATAAAAACAATCATAACAAAAATAAACTATTGCTGCGTTCGAGAAACAAAATGGTCAGATGTTTTTAAAACATTTAATGACTTGTGTTTCTTGATTAAAAAAATCTCCTAGTCTATTTACAATATTTTTGGTACCTAAATAATGTGGAAATTCACCCGTATTTCGTTATAGTAACAATAGCTTGTGATTACATAACATTAAACTACGTTTTCTTCTCAATTTTGTATAGCTTTTATATCAATAAATCATTTGTGAAATTTTTAAATGAACATACCGCAATTGTAGTAGGTATTGAAAATGTAGGTACGTTTTTATCTTTTATGAGAATAAGATAACTAACTTTAAAATATATATTCGTACACTATCGAATTTCATCAACACGAGCAAAACAAGGCATACATTACTTTTACAAACACTCAAATAATAATCTCAATTTTATGTAGTGTATCTGATGGTTACTCCGCAATAAATTTTGTAATTTTATTGTCTACGCTTAATGTTGAACAAATTGCATATTCCCTAATGTCAACGTTAAATTAATGCACGTGTATTTGCGTATAAAAGGACATGTACGCATGTTTGCAAACCCCAAACGTATAGTTAGAAAAGTATAGGGCCGACCTTGTTCAGTCCTCATCATGAGAGAGACATTTGAACTGCGTCAATTTTATTTTCCTTCTTAAAAAACTAATAGATTATAGAAACTTTTCTATTATCTACCAGAGTGAATTATTATATACGAGATACATGAAGATGCGAAGAATAGTTTTATTTTAAGGAATGCCAAATATTCGAGATTACGGATAATAAGAATGAATTAACTATAATATCTAATCAATTTAAATTACAACGGAAAATTATATTTATGACGAACGAAAGTAGCCGAGTATCCGGCGAACTGCGGTGTCGCCAAACCAATATTATCTCGCATCAAATTCTTATCATGGCTAACAAAGCTTCAACAGGTACAATTAGGTGCTATCAGGAATCAGCAAACCTACCATTACGGCCCCTTCTAATACAACTCCAGCAGGCCAAGGTAACATTAATAGCTTCAGTGTTTTAAAAGGCATTTTCCTGTAGCAAAATACTTATAATGCCTCAATTATGGCTAATAGACTTATGGGTGCTGTATTAGATCATAGATTTAGGTAACGCGCCATCTAGTTAATGTTTTCCAAACTACTTTCTCAATAAAGTGCCTTGTAAATGCCCTCAATGTTTCGTCTTGGTAGCTCTTTTGTTATATTAAGCTATTATATCTGTATGGTATTTTATTGAAGAAATTCCAGCGTAAGTAGTGTATGGATGTACTTGATTACCGCAACTGTTGCAATGATATTTAATAAAAGATACTATGTAATAGTTAAGTTCCAACAAAAATTATCTTTGGTAGTTGGTATATGAAAGAGCAGTGACAGCTCAGTGGTTAAGCGTGCGATTCTTAACGCTGAACGCTCAAACCCCGGCTGTGCAAAATTAGTCGTTTACTGGCTTGTATTTGCTTTTTACACTAAGAGATCAGCTTGTAATACATCCGAAATATGTTGATGATAAAGAAGCCAAGGAAATAGATGTAGAAACGTGAGTCCGTACATAGTTTTAGTCGGATCATTATTACTGTTATTAGATGCAAAAACAACTACGTTTATTATTTAACTAACCATTACGTTTAATATCAAAACATTTTTGTCAATCATAATCATGGCAAGTTTTTGGAAATGAAAACTGGAGATCGAAGACTATGATTTCTCCAAATGGACATCTTAGCCTACGAGTTGATTTAGGTAATAAACAGTTACTTTCCTACCTATACCGTCCAAGTCATTTTTGTGTTGCATTTAAACATCATTTGACATCACTATTTCCAGTTAAAAAGATATTTCTAGGTTAAGTAATGTAATTAGCACATTATTGTGTGCATATGATTCAACCATACCATACTTTTCATTTAGTTATAATGTATAGTCTGGTTTATAGTTTTATCATAATAAAATATTCCATCTTATTTAAATAAAAAAAGAAAATAATTTATAATTAGATTTAATTTCAACAATTTATACAAAATTGAAATACTTCAGCAATTTTAAAACATTATCAAAAATATTACAATTACTAATCCCAAACATAGATTTAATAAACCATGCACAAAATAAAAAATCAACGAGATATATGTATATATCTCTAGGTTTGAAATATTGTTGTGAAAGAACATTTTTAAGTAGTAATTAATAACCATTTAACATATTCATGAACACAAGTAATGAATGAATATGTCAATAGTATTATTGCAAATATTTTATAAACACATGTTTTAAGTTGTAGATACCATCCATTGTTTAAATTTTTTATTATTTTCTTTATAAACAATCTGCAATCACAGTAAAATATTTATTACATCAAAAGTGTCCATAGTTGTCAATACACAATTAACAATTATTAGTGTACAAGGAGGTTGTTTCTTCTATCTGCTCCATAGAGATGTTTCTATCTAGGTAAAAAAAGTAGAAATTATATATTTCTACATTAAACCCAAGTATAAATGTAATTAGAAATGGGCAGTGACTTTTGTTTCTAAAACTGTTTCATATCTCTTATGTCTTAGCTAAAATTAAAAGGTATGTTGGGCCAATATGTAGCCTTATCTCGCTTATTTATAAAGTCCGTTAATAGAGACATCTCTAATGCACATATTTTTTGCCATTTCTCCCCATAAAGCTCTTTTAATTTGTCTTCAGTCATAACATTATCTTCTTCTACTTGTTCTTCAGTTGTATCTTGTTGTGTCCTTAACCTTTCGCGTTCTTGCCTAGCATCCTCTTTAAACTTAGCATTTGCTCTTACAAACTCAATAAACTCTTCACTGACTACAAAATCATCATTCTCATCCTCCATAGAATCATCGTCATCATCTTCAACAATGTCCTCATAACATTCTGCACCATTTATGTTATTTTGTTGTGATTGGTCCTGTTGAGTTTCACTCTCATCATTTTTCTGATCATCACTTTCTATTGAAACTTCCGATGTTTTTAGGTAATTCTTTTTAATAACATCATGTAATAATCTATTTTCGTACTCTAGCGTTTTTGCTCTGGCTTTCCAAAAGGCAAGTTCATGTTTCATTTGCCAGTTTGATGCCATTGTGAAATTTTGAGCCCAAGTAGACATTGCGATGGAAAATTGATTATTTTTGGTTTCTTTACGACACCTTTTGAAACTATGTTTGCGTTTACGTTTTGCTTTCTTGGTACGTACTTTTTCGGTTTCAATTTTGCTGGGTTGAGGGTGAGATTTATTTTTATTTACCTTTGTTGTGTTCATTTTAATAAAATCTCTAAAATGAAAGCTGCCTGCTGCCAAGTTCTAAGTTGCTAGATGCCAATTGTCAAACCGATGAGAAATGAGATTGCTAAGCTGTTGCCAAAAAGTTAAAAAAAAAAAAAATGAGATTGCTGCTTTAAATAATCAGGTATTTTGTAACTATAACATTTATATCTGATTGTCTCCATCAGCAATTATAAAGATGATAATTGAAAATTCTAGTGTCACAGTGTTGACCGCTGACCAATTTGTTCAAATTTAAGTGACAGTAGGTCGTAAATTTTTTACACCCCTAGTGATACTCTTTATTGTCATAACTATGATTATTTACATTTTTTTTTATTTGGACCACAAAATTAGGACAAACACATGATATAAATTATTGACATACATACATAAATATCAAAACCGGTGCCGTCCCCATAACATGTGGACACGACCAGCGAAATCAAGTAGATACAAAAAACAGTGTTAAATACAAACAAGCATAAAAAATAAAAATGCAAACTATAAAAGAATTAAACTATTTGAACCAAGAAAATAAATTATCGGTACTGTGTCCTAATTCTACTCTTAGCTGAGGCCAGAGAACCGTGAAAAATATCAAAACTCTGTGCAATATCATTACGGTAGCGACATAACCTATTAATTGGTGAGTTTCTGCCAACGTTTGTTCGACAATGTGGGATGTGAAAACATCTTCGATTGTACAAACGACTCCCGACCCGAGCAACTTGTATTGATAAACGTTCTAAAATTTCTAGGCAATCCACAATTTTGTTAATTACTTTAAATAGGTATAGCAAGTCGATGTTTGCTCTACGAACACTCAGAGATTCCAAGTTATAGAAATTTAACCAATCCTCATATTTACTCAACATTGCACATTTATTATTTCTAAAGGATAGATGGTATAAAAACTTTCTCTGCACTCTTTCCAGCCTCGCTGAATGGGTTAAATACATTGGAGACCAGACACAACTATTGAACTCCAATATGCTTCTAACGAGGCTGGTAAAAATAGTAACTGCGACACTGGGATCGGTAAGACTCCCTGTTATTCTGGAGATAAAACCAGAGAGCTTTGAGGATCTTTTTATAATACTATCCACATGCTCCCTAAAACTTAGTGAACTATCCATAATGACACCCAAATCTCTTATGCTTTTAACCTCTTGAAGTTTCTGGCCCCTTATGCAGTATGTTAATGGTGAAGATTTCTTTTTTTTTCGAAAATTTTATGCTGCAGCACTTTCCTTCATTTAAAATCATTCTATTCAGCCCGCACCAAATGTTAACTTTGTTTAGTTGCTCCTGCAGAAAGTCAATATCGATATCCTGTTGAACATGTTGGTATAATTTTAAGTCATCAGCGTTCATTTTAAAATTGCACTTCAAATTATATGCTAAGTCATTCACAAAAATGATAAACAATAAAGGTCCTAAGTGTGATCTTTGTGGTACACCCATAGGTATAGGCTGACCGTTAGACACATGCTCTCTGATCTTTACCAGTTGTGTCCTATTTTTTAAGTACGAGTCACACCACCTAAACAATGACCCATGAATGCCCATGGAAAAGATCTTCTGCAGTAGTAAATCGTGGCAAATGAGGTCAAAAGCCTTACTGAGGTCGGTGTATATTGCATGGATTTCCTGTCCGTTGTCGATTCCCTTCGCTATGTCCTCAGTGAAAACAAGCAAATTCGTAGTGGTCGATTTCTTTGGCATGAAACCATGTTGCTCTGGGTGTATATTCTGTTTTACATGCCAAAAAATTCTCTGCTGAATAAGAGACTCAAACACTTTCCAGGTGCTGGTAATATTGAAACTGGTCTATAGTTCTGAACAACGTTTCTATCTCCACCTTTGTGAATAGGTGTTACCCGAGCAGCTTTCCATACGGTAGGAAACACACCTTGACGCAAAGACTCGTTATAAATCATGCATAGGGGAATCGATATAATATTTTCGGCACATTTCTGTAGCACAACATTAGGTATATTATCTTACCCTATACCTTTGTTTGCGTCTAAATTCCTAATGGCGGCGCGAACTTCAGAACTCATTATTATTGTCACTACAGTCTACAATCTTTCATTGTACTTGCTGTTTTTCATGAAAATTTGGAAAAGACCAACAAAGTGGAGTTGAAGAGTTTCGTTTCTAGTTTGAGAGTGGCAGAAAGTGGAATTATATTTCAATTAACAGTCAACAGGCTAGGCACGTAATGAAACGTCATCGATCCAAGTCATTTGCCTAGCTGTTTGATCAACTGGCTGAACATCTTTCAGGCCGCTAGTTAAACGGCTAGGCTGTTAATTGAACGGCTAATTAAGCTAGTTGGCTCCGACATATATATAAAGTAAATCCTTTACATTGTCATTCACTAGTCACATTCGAAATAAAAAGATAAATTTTTCGAATCAATTAATTATTACTTAAAGATATGTAAAAAAATAATTATAAGAATGTTTATAAAAATTATTAGGTAAGTAAGTACTGCAATCCAACAACATCGAGTTCTTGTTCAAGTCAAATTACAACACTTGGTGCTTATAACCCTTATAAAGGCGGACTTATGGGACATTATATGCGGATATAAAATAATGATGCCGATACGTCTATCCTTAATATCGCCGATTCCTATTAATATCGCCATCAGAGTTAAAGCAGACAAAAAATTGTCAAACATCAAAAGAAGTTTGGATAACTTGAAAGCAGTCTATCAAAGTACAGAACCAGCAAGAAAAACAACCCTTTTAAAATCTATAGATATTGTAGACTTAGATTAGTACTAGAAAATATGGATAGAGTTTTACCGGCTGAATTATTAACCATCACGCTACATGCTTCAATAACGTCAGAATCGCAGAGTCCAGAGATCTTCTACCTTCGCCTGAGGTCATAAATGTGAAGATTTTTGAAGTCCATATTTGACATATTATAATATTGGTAGGGGAGCCCAAGAGGGGATTTCGGGATTTACTAAAGCGCGGCAGATTAATATATAGGGGGATACCTTGTACCCGGTTAAGTACCTCCACAAAATATGACGCCCATATATAAGGCCGCACGTGAAGGAGACAGGATCAGTTTAGTAAAAAAAAATTGACCATCAGAAATTCCCGAGCGCGTCAGATTAAGGTAGGGTGAGTTAATTACATCCTAAAAAGTGTATATTCCACTAATCTGACAATTTGAGAGTGACGGAAAAAAAGGGGAGGGCAACAAAGTTGTAAAAAAAAAACGTCATCTCGACATTCTCGAGCGTAGCTAATTTTTTTTTTATTTTGAAGGAAATAATTCAAGAATAATGAAAAATATATAATCTGACGATTTCCGCAAGCCGAAATAACAAAAATTCGTCGATAAAGTTAAATGCGTTCAGCTGCGTGATGCCTACATTTCCTTAAACCGATCGGAATCTACTAAACGGCGTTCTAAATATTTCCCTCAAAATTACATTTCCTGTGAATTTGAACCGATTCGGACCGATAGATTTTGAGAAATTTTGAAAAATCTTAAAAAAATAAGAAATATTTTTTTTAAAGTGGTTTCTTTATCGATCAACTTCAAAAACTAATCCGCCTTTGAGCTTGAAAAACCACGTCGATCGCCACCAAGCTGGTCAAAAGCGGTTGATTCGTTCGAGAGATATCGTACACGAAAGAAACCCGAAAAAGTGTTTTTTCGAGATTACTCCGAAATTTGTGGTTCGATCAATTAAAATTGCAAAATCACTTATGAGAATGATAAAACTGCGTCGAATGCCGCCAACCGCGTGAAAATTGCAATTGATCCATTCAAAAGTTATTGAGGTTTGAAAATTCCAAAAATAGTGTTCTATGAAACTTCTATCAGACTTTCGAGCTGGGAGAGCTCAAATGCATAGAAATGTTATTTCTTTGAACTCAGCGAGCTCAAAATATCAATTTTAAGCGCCCAGGAATGGAATTAGCGGGAAGTTGCAGGGATGGCCCTTTAGGTGAACCGTTTTTCTATTTTTTTTTGTCAGATCAGGCGAATCCCTCTAGATAATCGTCAGATTATGAGACAGTACGTTTAGAACATAAAGATGAACCACATATATCTTAATCTGACGCGCTTGAGTATTTCAAAATTGCGATTTTTTTTTGCAAATTAAGAAAATGGCTGTGGGTTTGCGTCCCATCGAAATCGTCAGATTAGTGAATGAGAGCTTTTTTTTGGTGCACTTAACACTCCCTTAGAAAATCTGACGCGCTCGATAAATTTTTTTTTTTTTTTTAATTTTCAACACTTAAATACAACCACCCGCATCATGCAAACGATCAGATTAACATACGTACATTATTAAAAATACGTAGGGCATAGATGCTATCAATATCTGACGCGCTCGAGGATGTCCATGCAACAATTTTTTTTTACATATTTAACTATCTATAGCCGCTTCCCCCACCGATGAAAAGGAATTTATCATATAACATTTTTTTCTTCTTTTTATCTAAGCTTTGCATTCCAATAGGTCTCTACGACGCTCGAGTAAATCCCCATTTAGCATCGTGGGCTCCCCTACCATATGATACTGTAAGAACAATAATTAAAGTCATAGGCGATCATACACATTACACTGGCAATTGTAAACATGACAGTGATGACAATTGAAACTAAGCCGTCAGAACACCGACTTAGCAACAGTGTGACCGTTTTTAGTATATTCAGTACCAAATTGGTATAATTTGGTACTGAATATAACTAATTTAGTATTTTTTTGGTATCCTTTTATATTCTAGTATTTTTTGGTACATTTAAACTTTCAACATTTTAAAACACATTTTGATATATTTTTGGGCTGGGCGGGAAACAGTCACTTCCATTCGTTCGTATTTCGTTCACATGTTTTTGTCTTTGTCTGATGTTTACCGCAACTGTATCATTTTGTCTCTTTCGATCGGTTAATGCTAACAAATTCGCGAATCGTGCTTTAGCTACGTATAACTATCTACGTCTAAGACCACGGATGTTTTAGTTCTTTATTTATTTCTCTCTGTGTGCATGTGTAGTGAAGATAATGAAGCGCAAGTACGATCAGAAATATAGATCTGAGTGGGAACAAAATCCAGAATTTTCGTCATAGTTAACAAAAGATAAAAATAATGAGAACGCCTTGTGTAAAACTTGTGGAGCAACATTATTAAGCAGAATCGCTACAATTAAAAGTCATGCATATTCTGAAAAACATCGGCAGAAACTTATACATTATAGTGGACAATCCAAGGTAAGAAAGCTAAGCCCCCATTAACATATTTATAAGATTATTGTGTCCCTTATTTTTTTATGGCACATGAATTAATTGTCCTACTTCTACAGGCTGTCCGATGAATCTTGGATAGTACACGTACAGTTGTTCACACATGTATAATTGATTCTCAAGCGATTTCAAGCTGAATTTTAAAATTTTCATAAATGAGACACGTCTTTTAAAATAAAAAAAAGGTATTTTACTTATTTTTTACGATACGAAAATTAATCAAATCCTGTTTATTTTCAGAACGATGATAAATTACTTCAAAGGAAAGAACCCATATCTGAAGAAGTAAGAAAAGCAGAGCTTATATTTTATGCAGCGTTGGCAGAACATAACATACCATATCGGGCCATGGATCATCTCAGCGATTTATTCAGCAAAATGTTTTATGATTCGGAAATCGCAAAGGGCTTTTCCTGCAAACGCACTAAATCTGCTCAGTTAGCTCAGTGCAGCGAATACTGACTTAGTATTTGTAATAAAACTTATTGTAAATATTTATTATTATTTTAATATGTCTGTATTATGAAGGTGTGTAATTGGTAAAATTAAAAAGTAACTGATAATAAGTGTTTTAATAAAAAAAAATCCTCTTTTTCTTTTAGTATAATTCAGCATGTGTTTTGGTATTATTTAGTATTGGCACCTTGTAGTTTTGGTAGATCGCCATTTTTTAAAACGGTCACACTGCTTAGCAATAAACTACTAGAATCCGAAATCAAAGCTTAGTCAAATTTCAAACTAATCATAAATATTAAATAGTATTCAGTAATAAATATTACTGCAAAACAAATTATCGTTAATCAACATATTATGATTAATATCATATCATGGTAATTTTTAAATTGTTTTATTTTTCAAGGAGCACTATGACAACAGTCATGGTAAAATATTGATTTACAATTTATAGTTCCAAAGATTTACGGCAAAATAAAAGTTACTCATAAAATCAAAATGAGGTGTTGCAGAACCTGTTTAGGTGAAGGAAAAGAAATGAAACATATTCATACCATAATTTATATTGCTGGAAACGACGTTCGTCTTTCTGATATTTTATTAAATTTTTATAATTATAAGGTATGTACATAATATTTTCAAAAAATAAACGGACCACATAACCGTTATTACTTACTTTATATTTGACTATATCTATTATGTTCTAAAATAGGTGATGTTTTTCAGGTTGAAAAAATGTTGCCTGAATATATTTGTATTAATTGTGTATACCAACTAACTATCACATATTCGTTTAAAATATTAATTGAATCGAGTACCAAAAAGTTGATGGAAAAAATGACTTACATGGAGTCAGAGAGTGATAATAATGACGATTATTTCGCACCAGATGAAAAGGAATTTAGTGAACAAGACATAAAACCAAAAATTAAAATGAATAATTTAGAAATTGAAACATCGGTTGACCTTTTTTGTGTTGAATGCAAAGCAATGTTCAGTTCTTCTAAGTCACTATATGAACATTGTATGAAAACACATCCTATCAAAAACACGGTTGGTAGAGCTTGTGAGTATTGCTGTGAAAAATTTGAAGACTTTCGATCATTGATCATGCATAGAAAGCTCCATTTGCGACCTTTCATCTGTGAAAATTGTTGGGTGGGGTTCTACCGACAAGATGACATAATTGGTCATCACTGTCAGCCTAGTCCCCATAAGTCTAAAGATAACACAGACAAAAAGCTTTTACGACAGTGTGATCAGTGTGGAAAGTCATATCCTCCTGGCTACATAAGAATACATATGTTAACTCATGGTAGTAATAGAGCATACAGTTGTAAATATTGTCCCAAAAAATTCAAAGTACCAGGTAGTCTCAATTCTCATATACTATGGAATCATAAAAGAACAAGAAATCATAGATGTGAAGTGTGCAATGCTACTTTTATAACATCTAGTTCTAGAAGTTCACATATAAGGAAAAATCACTTGAAAGAAACGAAATACTCTTGTGAAACTTGTGGAAAGCGTTTCTTCTCTAAGTCAGAACTGCAGAGACATTCCCTGACTCACACTGGAGTTAAGAACTTCCACTGCCATTTGTGTGATAAGTCCTATCAAACTCGCTACGGACTAAATGTTCATTTGAAATCTCATCCACAGCCTGTATTATTGAGTCTCTAACTATAATTAAGTACAAAGTATTTTATTAATGATCTCATTACTATCTGATATTTATTAAAATAAAATGTAGCCACAAAACTATGTCTAAATTTTCCAATTTATTCAATATTACTATTTTGGTCGAGGAATAATGCATACTAATTTTCAATATAAATTAATTTTAATAGAATTTAATAAAAAAACTTATACAAAACAAAAGATTAAAACAAAAAAATTATTGTTAAAATATACTTTGAACTACAACAGTAATTACAATAGTCATGGCGAATGCTAATCTTTATAATTTTAATTAGTACAATTTGCTGATTTGAGTACCAAAGAAATACTAAAGCTTGGCATTGCAGCATGTTATTACAACTGATTTTTTGATCGGAATAATTAGCATTTATGAAAATACAATAATTACTTTAATGAAATCTTTACACTAATGAGCAATTATTAATTGTAAAATTTAGAAAAACAGCCTCTAAATTGACAATAATTCAAATACTAATAGGTATAACTAAGAAACTATACTAGAAGGCACAAATTAAAATTTACAGATAGCTGAATATACTCATACAAATTGGGAAATTTTTAATCGTGGGAAAAAGGTGAAATGACCTCGGCAAACATTTATATTATTTACTGTGTAAAATATGATCAAAATTTTGCAATTGTTATTTCTAATAATAGTAGTTAACTTATAACAAGTAACAACATTACATATTTTTCCTAAAAATAAAAGGTTTGCTAAGGAAAATCTTTTGGACTCTTATAAATACAAACTAATGTCTACCCGTGTCATTGTTAATGAGTGGTTAGAGACAAAGTCAATTGTGCACATTTTGAAAATTTAAATGAAGGAATAAATTACTGAATACTGTTTAAAAATATTTAACTGCATATAAAAATATAAAATTTTCTCGTCATATCTACATTAGGCAAGCAAGGCCCATACCGTCTCAGTCACAACAGATATCTGTAGTCCATTATATTCGAGTGTAACCTGAAAGAAAAACGTTTACTTTAAATTCTATATCCTCCGAAATAAATTAATATACACAATCTCTTTGTAATATATTTAACTAACTTAGAATTGACAATATTCTTGTAACAAAAATTCAATAAATAGGAATTATATTGTATAACCATAGCTCCTTTACTTTTCAAAAATAACTCGGTACAATTGCTCCGTTCTTACAAAAGTACTCATTTGTTTCATGTGACAGAAAGAGACGAAAGAGTACTTAATGAAAAGGGGGTACGTATCTTTTTATAACATTCCAAAAGATATATTAAAAAGAATATTAGTTACTGTCAATATCAGGCATATAATGTAATTGACATAATTTGAAGCAAATAAAACTTTACACTTTTAAATAATCCTAATAGAATTATAGTTAATAAGGATACGAAACTAGCTGTCAAAGTAAGAATTAATTAAGTAAATAGGACCGATGGGCTTTAATGAAAGTTACCAAGCAAACTAAATCAACATTTTATAATTTAAATTATATAAATCGTTCATCGATTAAATATTTAATTCCCTACCAGTTCATACACATACTATAAACGACAAATAGCTAGTCCTAAAGACTTTGCAAATAAATAATTTAACTACTCAAGGTCTGTAGTGTCTCTACTAATAAATGTAATTTCATTAATATAAAAAGCCAAGCCAATATAATATTTTTATTTATTTATTATATTGTTATTCAACTCAAAATAGCGCCTAAAAATTGAAATCTAATCCTATCTGATACATAACTTCCTCCATATCTCGGTCCATTTTACCATTTGCCTGATCGCGAGCGTTCTCTTCGGGCCCTTCGCCCCCCAAACCGTCAGACCCCAAATCTTCGGAGCCCGATTCCTCGTTACGATCGCTCGGGTCGTTCGCGGCGGTGGGTATTCCGAGGATAATTCTAATTTGGTCGGTGAGATGAGGCGCTGACATTAGCTGATGGTAGATTCCTTCGGCCGTGCTTAGGATTTTATCAATGTCGAGGCACATCGACAGGTCGTTGACGTGCTGAAAGTAAATTTAAACAAATATTCTTCATTTTATTTAAATTGGTGATCATTCTTTAAGTAAAAACAAATTTTTAAGAATTATACATTTTGGCAGACTTATGTATGTCAAAAACTATGGGATTTGACATACGAGAGTATTACAAAGCCAACCCTTGTGTCTGCTTAATTATAATTGTCTTCTAAGTCACTAAGTCAGCGAAAGTTAACACATAAATATTAACAAAAAAAACACGACTTGTCTATGCATCTGCTACATAACAGATTAAATTGTTATTCTTACCTTCAATATTTCGTTGAAACCATAATCTTTACTGATGAGCTCATCCTTTTCGGCGTCGAGTATGGCAACACAGATTAACAGGTGGAAGTTGGCACATGGCAACCCCGTCCACAACACCTCCCACAGCCTGAAATGTAGTTAATTCAATTAAAATAACTTTTAAGTAATCTATGGGGACTTTAGGAGCCCACCTATATAATTTTACTTTGTTATATATAAAGCTAGGTAAACATAAACGTTTATATATTCAAAAACAAGATAATCATATATAAATCTCTCATAATTAACATCATTATAACATTATATTTTTAAAATATTTAAATAACACAAGTAAACGTAAATTTGAAAGCAAAGTACAACAGGCTTATAAGAAATCTCTTCCAGGCAACCCGTTATAAAAGAGTATATATATACTAAGACCAATTATATAGTCAAGTCAAGTCAAAAATCATTTGTAACATAATGTACACTTATGAACATCAAAAAATAATAAAGAGAAATACGTGCCCTACAATAATTTCAGGTATGGGTAGAAGAGTCAGAGATAGACTGGAGATGTTACGATAAGGGAAATTTAAAAGATAAGGAGGGAGGTAGCTGAAAGGAATTAAGAAACGTATTCCTCATCTCTAGGAGATTCGAAAAAATCTGAGTAATAAATTCCAGAATATATCCCAAAAAAAAAATTACCTCATAATATCACTAAAAGAGAATTCCCGTTTGAACCAAACAAGCAGCCATCGGAAACAAAAGTACATGTTCCCGGAGTCCTTGGAAGCCAAATGCTTCGCTAGGTCCGGAACTGCAAACGTCAGCAGCTGCTGCAGATTCAGGAGTTGCTGCTTCATGCCGGCTTGGTCCATGTCGAAGTTTGATGCCTTGAAATTACAAACTTTTTTGAACACATTTAAAAATAAATCAGTGGCGCTACAACCTCTTTAGGTCTGGTACTCAGATTTCTGTATCTGTTTTATGATCATTTGTGAATCTAATAGGCATGTAGGTGTTCTTTTTTCATAAATAAATACTCACAATCTTCTCCATAAACCCAGCGAAGCACCAAAAACTGTCGACCTCATTCCCCAAAAGCAGCAAAAGAGGCGCCAACACATCGCTCATTCCCTGAACGTACCCCAAGTCAAAGTTGTACATCACATATGTCATCAAAATATCTTGCAATAAGAGAACATTCGGATTATTGTCTCCGGCGAAAAACGGATGCGACCTGTCCGTCCTATTGACGTCTTTCTCGACCAAACTTTTCCGTTCCCTGTATTCGCTGAAGCGCGACTCTTGCTTCTCCGTTATCGACCGCCATTGGAGCTTCATCGAGAAGTATTCCTCCGTTTTTCTCTTTTGTATTTTACGGATTTCCGAATGCGTCGCGTGCCAGGGGTAATAGTCGAGTAGATATTTCCATACCGACGGGCGGATCGAATGTGCTACGCCCTGTGAATGGGAATAATGAATGGTAAATTTTCGTAAGATTATTGCTGAACTTTAAATAGAATGGAAACCATCAGCTGAAAACAATATAAAAGCGTTCCAGACAGACCGCACTTGTTGCCGTGCACCACAACTTTATGGAAGCAGCTGCCAATCCAGGTATTTCCGAACCGTTACAAGTTAGGGGGAAGATATGCAACACGACGTTCAGTAACGAAGGACGCGACTAAAGAAGAAGACGACTTAGAGGCCTTCAATAGAAGAGCGTATCTAAAGGCCGGCAACGCACTTGCAAACCTAGTGTTGCTGGTGTCCATTGGTGGCGGTAAGCACATAATTCTAGACAGCAGTAAGTCTTCATAAAGAAGCCTAGTCTTACGGTTTCACTCGCCTAAATTCGATAATAGTTTGATGATATAATATAGCTTTTAACAAATGGAATTTCCAGCACCAAAATTAATTTTTCAATTCGTGTCTGTATGTTATTTTATTATGTAAATCTACATTAGTCATTTCTATTTATTTTTAGAGAACAGAGAGCAAATGGACAGGAGTCTCGTCTGATGTTAAATGATACCGCCGTCCATGGCCACTCAATATCAAAGGGATTGCGATGTCGGCCTATAAATTATTCGTACACTCTTTTCTTAAAGGACCCTAAGTCGAATTAGTTCAAAAATACTTCAGTGCGCGTCTAAAACTGCTTTAAAAAAACGCTTAGTTGCGGAACAACTTTTCTCTGATCATCCGCTTATCATAATAGCTATCACAAAGCATTGTCAAAGTACTTACACCTCGAAATATCAGCTGTTTAACTCCTTCAACCTCGAGTATTCGTCCTTCTGTAAATTGAAGTCCTTCCCATTTCTCTGTTGATAGTGGTGTGCCTCTAGGATAAAATAAAACATAATTAATTATTTAAAGTTCCACTGAGTAATTCCATAATTAAGAATTAAAATGTGCTCAATGTAATGTGTAATAACTAAAAATTTTATACTTAATATAACTATATGCGTATCTGAGCAAAATAGCATAAATTTGCAACACAAATCTTACAAAAATAGATTTTTTGCGTTTATTTTTGAAGTACAAAACATCTTTTTAAAAATTTATCTGATATGACTATTTTATTATAATTTCGCTGTAAAAAAATAGCCTAAATGGATAATAAATTTACCTTGGTATACAAGGCCGGGGTGGTAATGTAGGTTTAACAGTGATCACTTCATATTCTTCGGACTTCGTTATCGATGTCGTATCTTCCAAAGCACTCATGCTTTTAGTCAACAAATCGGCCACCTCCTCGGACACATCCCGCTTGCCATTCAAGCCTTCATTCCCGTAATATACTAAAACACTCCACACTACTTAATTCAATACGTACGGGAGATATATTATCTTTTGTTTAGTATTATTTTTCAACTACCCTCACAAAATAAATTTGTTTCAAATATTTGACGGTAGTACGAAATTAACTTAAGACATTTGAAAAGTATTCATGAATAATGCTCTTTAGTATGTACGAATATCGATACTAAATATATAATAATATGCAAAGTAAATGGCATGTTTTTTTTAATCACGAAAAAACTACTCACCTATATCAGTAAGTTTCGAGAACGCCTCCATAGTAGTTTCATATGGGCGCTGCTTAAAATTTGACACTAAACTCCATACAACATCTGTTGTATTTTCCGTAAAAATATCCAACTCAGTGAACGACTTATTTAAAGCCTGGGAATCGATGTTAGACTCGACCACAACGTAAGTGTTTCGGTCATGTCTAGTTTTTGCCGTTTTCACGTGATTCTTTAAGTAAGCCACAAATATTTCTGCATTTCCATGTTGAAAATAGAATGTGTTCTGCCAAACTCCGGACTTTGTCGAGAATTGCATTTGTTGGCTATTACGCGTGACCTTAAAGGTTTTAAGCTCGGCTAGAGGTATTCGGACGATTCTCGCGCGAGCCGCTGCATAGTCTGAGGTCATGTTGCCGCTCAGTGTGCGCTGCCGTCGACCTAGTAATCAATAAAATCTTGGCTTCGAGAAAATTTTAGATAGCAAGGGATTAAACACATTGCAAAAATAATGTTTCACTGTTTATAATGCTTGCTTAATGTGTCCAATTTAACACTTACTTAAAATGCGGTATCTATATTAGTAAAAACAGAAACACGTCGTATTGATTACATCCTTTAGGTTTTTAAGGTGGTTAATTAATTCCTATCCATTTTTATTTAAAAGTCTCACTGAATATCAGGCCTTAATGTCCACAGATTACCGAGTGAGGCCAAATTAACACTGCACACTAATTTCTTTTTTTCATATTTAGTCTTATCTTTTCTTTAATAATGTGTGAATTCGTGTGCGTGTATATAAAACCAGTAGGTTTGTTTTGGAAATTAAATGTTTCACATTATTATATTTTTTTACAAATTTACTATTCTACACAAACACTTAAAGAAAGCTTTGAATATATATTTTAATTTCGTAAACTTATTTCATTTTAAATTATATAATTATAGCTGCTGTATACATAAAACATTGTTTACTCATAAATACATATTTGAAAATGTAATATAATCAAGCATGAAATAAAACAAAGAAATATACATTATAAAAGCAATAAACTCTATAATAACTCAATTATATCATCTGTAAGAATGTTATCAAGTTTATTTAATTCCTTGCTAACTGTTACAAAGACCCACAGTACCCTGACCTTTGATTAAAGGGTCAAACCTAAACTAAACCTAAATTATAGGTTTTAGAGAATTGTATAAAATTTTCCTTGATTTCAAAGTACCAAGAATCAAGGAGTGGTTTAAAAAATTTTCTCCGGTGAATAAGTATATCCAATATACTCAAATTCAGGTCATATAAATAATTATAATTAAATCTTTTTTTTTAATAATTATAATTTTAAAAAAATTCTTTTCTCACAGTGGTTGCCTGGAAGAGATCGCTCGAAAGCGATAAGGCCGCCAGTTGCTCTCCTTTTTATTTAATTATTTCAATTGTACTCTATTAATGTATATGCAACGAAGTGTTAATAAATAAATTTAAATTTATTTTACCAATAGTATTTACAACAGCCCATTCTTGGTCTTGTGTATCCGAATCAATTGTAATGAGGTCATTTGGTCTCCATTCAATGCATTTGGTACCATCAGCATTTTGTACTACACAAAGCATCCCAATAGAATTGAGATCTGATATGGGACGACCAATGCATGCTTTTAATAATACTCCATCTTGCGTAAATAGCTCCTGTAAAATATGCAACTATTACAATAATGCATTAGCATTTGCCTCCTTTAAAGGTCTCTTTGAAAGTTGATCTCCTCTGTGAAATGCTCGAAAAACCAAGGACTAGAATTAAGAGTTAAAGGCAATCAGAACAAATAAACTACTATTTGCTTTTATTATAAGAGTTACATTAACTGTTATAAACTAAACTTTCTATATTTATTATTGTTAACGAACAAAAGTTAAATTGCCATGAGCAAGAAGATGATGAAACACAATCTGTATTTCGTTATTGTAAGGTAAATTCTGTATGGCAAATGCTACTTAGTTTGAAGGTCGAGTTCTTAGAAATAATTAGAAACAAAGCAGTTATTGAAACTTACTTTGTACTGATCAGGCAAATCTTCTGTAGAACTACACGACATCTTCTCATTTATTTTGTGATGTATACGAAATTATATTCACATTAATTATATTAATATTTTATAATGAATCACACCATGTTTAATAAACTCCAATACGCAGAAAAATAATAAACAACAAACACAGACCACAAAAAGTAAGCGCCGAAGGAAACAATCTAGACAAATAAACTGAGTAGAAAGTCATAAACCAAGTGTCAAAAGATTTTTTTTAATTTTAATAACATTCAGGGAAAAGATCACAATTAATCAATAAGAATGTGGCAAGGAAGTGATTCTTCTCATAAAAAAAAATATCGATCAGAGAGATCATTATTTAATTTTCATTAAACTTGAAAACAATATATATACCCTGTATACATAAGTAAATCTGTTCTCAATCATATTATAAAGTAATCTAAGTTTTAGCCTAGAACTCCGAGTCTAGCCGTCTAACCGAAAAGCTAGTGTAGTCATTCATACAAATTTAGTTTTTGAATTTTGACTACACTACTGTTAAGGCATCTTGACTAAGCCCCCTGGTTTTCTGTGTTGTAGTTTGTATATCATCTGTGGAAAATGGAAATAGAGTCTCGGACGTTGGCCTAAAGGTCTAGATACCAGGCCATAAACTCCAAAAAAAAAAAAAAAAAAGTCTCGGACGGAATGTTGTTTTTCTGAAAGTGTACTCTTATTTATAATAAATGTAATTAATCAATCTAACGTTTGAGTGAATTAAAGTTATTGTTGTAACTTACTAAATACGTCAAATAAATTTAAATGTACATTGTTATCTGATAGTTGCACAAGCGTATCAGACTTAATAAGTTACATTCGATTGAATATTATATACATACGTTCCTTCACGATCGATTTCATATTCCATCGAAATGACAAATCTTAATGTGAGTATATTGTGTAAGCAGAATATTACAAGTCTCTAAGTTGTTATGATTTGACTATCCTGTATCCAAGTTATGAGCAATATTCAAATATAACTGAAATTTATTTAATTTCGACCAGGTGAGCAACAGCAGTACAGACAGTAGTTCTGGGTCGAGTTCTGATTCCAGCAGCAGTGCTTCCAGTTCAACCAGCTCGGGTTCAGGCTCTAGTAGCTCGGATTCTGAATCATCAGCTTCAGATGTCCAAACAACTACAGCAGCTTCAAAGTCTCCAAAAGTTACACCTACTGATGAACCGAAAAAGAAAGACGAGCTCAAACAGAGAAGATCATCTAAATCCAAAATCATATCTTCAAGTGATGACGACATTCCTAAAATACCTAGTCCTAAACCTATTGCCAGAAGAGGTATGGCCAAAACCAAAAATGCGGCAAGTGTTCTAGCAGCAAAGAAACCATCAGCAAAGCCTGTAGGGGCTAAATCCCGAGCAATAGCTAAAGTTACCAAAATAGTGAAAAATGATAACGCATCAAAAAAGAAAAGTATATTTTCTCCTGATAACAGTTCTGAATCAGACTCAGAGAGTAAGGGAAGTAAGACTTCTAAATTAAGTCCAAAAAGATCCCCTAAAGCAAAAAAGACAAGAAAGTCAAGTGATGATAAGGACACCTTACCACCTTCAATTCAAAATGATGATTCAAATTCCAAGGATAGTTCCAAGAGAAGAGGAAGTAGATCGAGTGGGCCCCCTAAAAAGTTAGAAGATAAAAGTGTGTCATCTTGTTCATCCAGTCAATCATCAGTGGAATCTGTGTCTTCAGATAGTGAAAGTGAGCCGACATCAAAAAAAGGTCTATCTAAAACCAAGTCTAATAAAGTAAGTGTTATGACAATTAATTATTTGGTAACATAGAAGAAATGCTTTCAGATCTATAAAATATATATTTATTCACATTACTTGCTGACCGGCAAACATTGTTTTGCCATGTATATTATTTCTAGGAAACATTTTTTTATAAATGTAACTATCTACTAAAATAAGAAATAGGTGTTGATCGTAGAGGGTGAAAATTAACGGTTGTTTGTATTTTTGTATGCTGTATCATAACAAAAATGTCTAAAAATTAAAAACAAAAGTTTTGGGGTGGACCATCCTTAACAATTAGGGGGTTGAATGATAGATAGTAGCCGATTCTCAGACTTACTGAATATGCATAAAAAATTTAATAAAAATCGATCATGCCGTTTCAGAGGAGTATCGGAACGAACATTGTGACACAAGAATTTATTTGAATATATGAGATTTCTAACAATTACATTATTAAAATATAGTTAATAGGATAATTTAATATATTATTACATTTGTGGACATTATTTCACTTTGAATATTGTTAACTTTTAAGCCTGGAAGGACATATCAGTTTCAATTGTCTCTTATTTGCTCAAAAACCAAATATTATATACTCACTTACCTTTTTTATTAAATGGAAATAGATTTTTGGTATTTTTGGGATTTCTGGTTAACTATCCAGAGACTGGGTTTATAACCTTTTTATGGAGAAGGTATTATAATGTTGTTCAATGGAATTGGTAACAACTGTAAAGATTCATTGTGTAGAAATAAACAAATAAATAAATTAATATGTGAAATAAATAACCAAAAATTAATGATCTTAATATTGCTTTATTCAGGAGATTCAAAAAAGTGGTGACTCTGGTGACTCAGTGCCTAGAAAGTTGACGCGTTCTACCGCAGCACGGGCTTCACGTATGGTGACTTCTAAACCAAATGATTCTGATTCTGAAGCTGACGAAAAGAGTAATGGCAAAAGGTAATAGACATTTTTTTTATATGTATACTTGATAGGTAATTAACAAAGCTGAAGCTGAGGGCCACGGTTAGATATCGGCTAGTTTTAATAATTTAAATATGTACTTGTTTTCCTGATATAGATCAATGATAGCCTTAAAGGTATTCAAAAATCTATAACTAGGGTTGTGTTTTAAAAACCTGGCTTGCACAATGGACAATAAAAAAGGTCCATTAACCTAAGCGATTCGATAACTAAAGTGATTCGATAACTAAAGTCGTACAGGGAATCATATGTGCCCTTTTCAGAAGGTTAGTCCTAGCTGTGGGCCCATCGGGCACATTGAAGTTGAGGCTAGTACTGCGGAATTACTTATCCTTATCCTTACCATGTAACTATTTTATTAAGTACATTTTAATACGCGAATTGTCGGCGTACTGTAAGCTCTATGTAGCCCACAGAACCAAGAATAAAAAGGTCGGATAGATTACTGAGTAAAAAGGGTGCACACCGTACATCATAAAATAGACGTGCCTCAAAAATTTGTTTTGTTCCACTATCACCTACTTTTATTTCATAGGGAACCCAAATCGCGCAATTATGCTCCATGTCTGAGTTTCATCATCGGACGTCGAGGCAGAATACGAAATTCCACCCGTATTACCTCGACGTCCGCCGTTCCACAACTGTGCGTTTTTCAAGGCAGTTTTTGTCGCGAATCAGCCCACTGAAGTATTTCCGAACCAATTTGACTTAGGGTCCTTCGAGTCTCCAATTTCTAAAAGGGCGGCAACGCACTCGCGAGCCCTCTGGCATTGAGAGTGTCCATGTCCATTAAAATCAGGTGATTCTCCTGCCCGTTTGCCCCCCCGTTTTATTTATAAAAAAAATGACTTCTCACCAGCGTATCATATAACACTCTCACAGTAGTGATATTCGTGTGATCCTTTGATTGTCTTAGTACTAACCCAAGTTTTTTATAGGATTTTTGACAAATGTCTTATTAGTTCAAGTAACATATATATTATATATATAGAATATATATATATATATAGAGATATTTTACTTGCATCGCCCGTTTGATAGAATCCGTTCCTATTCGTAATTGTTTATCATAGGCACGTTAGAGTGGTTAAAACTCAAGATGGAACATTTTGGGATCCAAGCAAGACCTGTATATTTAAGATACTGTAAGTTAACTTACTTGACTTGTCTTTTAACCCCTAGATGGAGCAGAGAGCGTCCACAGTGTGTCTCCGTGCGTTCGATCTTGAGCCTCGTATGTCGCCTCGTTACAAGCCTTTCCGGCTCTGCCCTCATCAAAGCAAGCGCCTGCTTGGGAATATGATTGGGATCCCTTCAGAGTGTATGGCCTATCCATTTCGTCGCTTTATCGAGGTTTCTCGGCAGCGCTGCCAAAGTTCTCGGGCCATTAGATGACCAGAATACGGCGAATAATGTCTTCTTCTGTTCCTCCAGTTTCAGACTTGACGCTTCCGGGGTAAACAATTTTTTAAACGCTGTCTACTTCCTCTACACCCATCCGCAATGGGGTACGGTTCTCAACTCCAACACGGATTTATTTAGTTTTCTGAGTGTTAATTTTTTCACGATCGGTGAAGATACGTTTATTAAAAAGAATGTAAATTTAAAGTTTTGAAAGTGCATTAACTGATATAGTTCACTGCATTTCCAGTAAGGATAAAGAGGATAAAAGGCTAGCAAAAGCTCGTGCAGCACTTGTGAAATCACCAGCCGTCCTACCGAGATCCACTTCACCCTCTGAGAGAAGATGCCCAGTCAGAGGGTGTGATTCGAAAGGACATTTTGGTAAGTCAATGTCAATTTCCCACATCCTATAAGAAAAATGCACTAATTATTTTATAAGAAGAACTGTTTGAGTTCTTTATATTTTCAATTATTACTTATTAATGAATAATGAATTAAATTTAATAAAGAGTATGAAACAGTTTTAATAGTAAAAGATTTACTGGAGTATTTGGTTCTCACTTTAACTGTATCCCAAAATATTCTTTGTATTAAAGATATTATAGATTTATTTGGTGAATTTCTTTTAATAAATATGTTAGTCATTTAATAGATGAAGACATAACAAAGAAATTTACAATACTGTTATGATTTGTTTTTTACAGCATAAGTTATGCCAAATTTAAATACAAACAGAAAATCAAAAGGAAATGTGTAAAACTTGATGAATAAATAAAAGAAATTTAGTTTTTGTTCACAGTTGTCCTCTTCTTATATCTTCTTATATTGCATTCACTTTTCAGGTGGAAAGGCAGAGAAGCACTTCACCTACGACGCGTGCCCCACGTACCACAACGTGACAGGCGCGTGGTGCGTGGCGGCCGCAGAGGAGAGAGGGGCCGCGGCCTCTGCCAGGAAGAAGGCCGTCAGCGCCATGATGCAGAGACCCAGGGCCATGCCCACCATCGAGCAAAGGGCTTACCAGCTCAAGGTCAAGGTGAGCTCTCACTGGGATATTACATAAACATTGTATACGCGATTTGCGTGGTTTTTGAACTTAATACAAGTTTCTTTGCCTAAGGAGCAAAAAAAGATTTTTTTTAATACGTATTCTGAGAATTCTTTACTTTCTATCATATCAAGAAGAAAATTAGCGCAACTTATGGAATTTATTATTGGCGGTTAATTGTGTTGATTACTTATTTTGTCAAGAGATGGCGCTGCTGATTCAATAATTTACGAAAACCAAGCTAATTAGATAATTGTGTTCAGGTCAATGAAGTGACAAAAATATGGTATTCTTAATTTTCTCTCTAAGTTAGTTAATAAATAATAATGATATATACAAATTAAGCTACATTTATGTAATTGGTTATAAGTATTTTTGTCTGTGTATGTATAATAATTATGAAATAAATACAGATGCCGATCAAATCTTTTTTTTGTTGTTTTTTGAGTTAATCTTCATTTAATATCGGTCGGTATTTAAAATCGGTCGATTTGCTTATAACAAAATAATTTCCAGGATATGCGTTCAAAATGGAAAGGCAGTCACGAGCTCAAGTCGATGTCGAACGAGGACATCGGAGAAGAGAGAGAACCCGTTTTAGACGGTTTTGTGCCGGACTACGATTTGAGATTGTTCAGAGATGCGCAGGCGCTCGCCGCCGTCCAGATCGAGGAGGAATTGGAAGACATCGCCAGCGATAAGGGAACGAGGTAATTGCTTTTAGAGATAGATAGATGGCGCTGCATACAAAGAGTTTATTTTTACAGATGTTCTTAGGGAGCGTTCAAGTATTACGTAACGAATTTTGGGGGGGTACTTTTGTAAAACGTTACGATGCGGGGCGGGGATTGAATTACGCGTTATTGTTAATATTATTTTCGACTTTCCAGTACTTACAACATAATGGTAACTTTAAGGTATAAAGAGTCACTGGGTGGTCACGAAACGTTTTATTATTGGGTACAGAAAAACGTTACGGCGCGTTACATGGGGGAGGGGGTCATTAATCTCCAAAAATTTCGTGACGTAATACTTGAACGCAGGGAGCGTTTATTAAAAACTACATTACGTTATTATTACATAATAATTAGTTTCAGTTTAATTGTGTAAATATTAAATCGATTCGGTGGCAGATACGTGGTGATGGGCAAGTACATGATGGAGGTGTGGTACCAGTCCCCGTACCCGGGGGAAGCGGCCCGGGTGCCCCGCCTCTTCGTGTGCGAGTTCTGCCTCAAGCACCACACGTGCGCCACGGGGGCGCAGCGCCATCGTCTCAAGTGCGTCTGGCGACACCCGCCAGGGGACGAGGTACGTCCGTCATACAGAGTACAGACCTACTAGATGGCAGCACATTTATAGTGTTTACCCTTATTTCTTCAGTTCATGAGATCAGGTAACAGGACGTGACCGTGTATTACTGTGTAGACGATTATATATTTCCGAATAGATTTCCTTAGCTGTGCGCGACGATTACCCGAGAGCATAGACGAGTGCATAGCCTAGTATGCATAGTGCTTAACTGCATTAATCAATAAGTGATCAGAACGATTGAGTGTTGGCAAGTGGTGGGTTCAGTCTAATAATGCACTTTTCCAGGGATATCGTTTCAATTTAATAAATCAATTTGCTTACGTATTATTTTCTTTCAGGTTCATTGATAGACCTACTTTATAGCTTTTTTATTTAATTAATAAGAAGTTAAACGCATGAGTGGTATATTATAGTGAAAATCATGATTCCGGCTCGAAGGACTCGCTTGTAATAATATCTGCGCGTGTTTTAAAACATTTTATTAGTTAATGAATAAATTTGATTATAATAAAATAAGTTTAGTGAGTCATTCTAATGAATATTTGCTGTCATTTTTAAACCTTATAAAAAATATTATTCCTTTATTCGGTTACATGTCTCTAAATGAATATTTTTTTGCCATTTACAATTTGTTATTGACTTAAACAACAGTGGCGCTTACAATCTTTACTCAAGAGTTTTCTTTTATGGTATTGTTTTGATAGGCACGTCAGCCTTTTGTGCCTGACACATGTCGATTTTTGGGTCTAAGGCCGATTTCACGATTTTTCCTAAACATAGAAAGACGGGCAGATTCGCATACTGCAGTCACTATACACATATAAAATAAACGACCCGAACAGGTGTACAGAAAAGACACCCTGAGCGTGTGGCAGGTGGACGGACGCAAGAACAAGCAGTATTGCCAACAGCTCTGTCTCTTGGCCAAGTTCTTCCTCGACCACAAGACGCTGTATTACGACGTGGAACCCTTTCTCTTCTACGTGATGACCAGCGCCGACGAGGAGGGGTGCCATATCGTTGGCTATTTTAGTAAGGTGAGTCTTTTTATTGTTTTCGCTATATATTATCTTTATCTATCTTCTGTCTTCCTTAAACTGATTGCGTCGATACGGAATAAGTTTAAGGAAGTAAATATTATGGCACTAGGGAGCGTACAAGTATTGGCGGGGATTGAATTTTTTTTTTTTTATAGAACAGGGGGCAAACGGGCAGGAGGCTCACCTGATGTTAAGTGATACCGCCGCCCATGGACACTCTCAATTCCAGAGGGCTCGCGAATGTGTTGCCGGCCTTTCAAGAATTGGTACGCTCTTTTCTTGAAGGACCCTAAGTCGAATTGGTTCGGAAATACTTCAGTGGGCAGCTGGTTCCACAAAGTGGTGGTGCGCGGCAAAAACTGCCTTGAAAAACGCTCAGTTGTGGAACGGCGGACGTCGAGGTGATACGGGTGGAATTTCGTACTCTGCCTCGACGTCCGATGATAAAACTCAGCTGCAGGTATTAATCCAAACAACTCCTCTGAACACTCTCCATGGTAAATGCGGTAGAAGATGCAGAGTGACCCCACATCTCTACGCAACGCCAAAGGATCAAGCCGCTCGGAGAGGGATTGGTCGTCGACGATTCGAACCGCTCTGCGTTGAATACGGTCAAGTGGAAGGAGCTGGTACTGGGGAGCCCCCGCACAGAGGTGAGAGCAGTACTCCATGTGGGGCCGAATTTGTGCTTTATATAGTTGCATGCGGTGGCCCGGAGTGAAGTACCGTCTCGCCTTACTGAGCACACCAAGCTTTTTGGAGGCTAATTTAGCCTTTCCCTCCAAGTGACCGCGAAACTGAACGTCGCTCGATATGTCAACGCCAAGTATTCCAATGCTGGCTGTGGCTTTAAGAAGAGTGTTTTCGAAAAGAGGAGTAGCGACAAAGGGTGTTTTTTTAGCGGAAAACGCGCAAACTTGTGTCTTCTTGGGGTTAAATTGGACTAGGTTTAGTCTGCCCCAGTCTGAGACTCCACGTAGTAGAGTTTCGACTTCAGACACAAGTTTGTTCCGGTATTCATCGACAACTGCCCGAGAAATACCTGCCCGGCCAGTGTAAAGAGTATCCCCAGTGCTGTCATCCGCATAGCAATGAATGCTGCTAAGTTGCAACATATCATTGATATGCAGAAGAAACAGGGTCGGGGATAGAACACAGCCTTGTGGGACCCCCGCGTTCACGGGTTTAAGGTCGGAACATGCTCCGTCGATGACGACCTTGATGCTCCGATCGGCCAGAAAGCTGGAGATCCAATCGCATAATTTCTCGGGCAGCCCATAGGCTGGGAACTTCGAGAGCAGTGCTCTGCGCTACACCCGATCGAAGGCTTTCGCTATGTCCAAACTAACCGCTAGCGCCTCCCCCTTGGACTCAATTGCCTCTGCCCATCTATGTGTAAGGTATACAAGAAGGTCACCAGCCGAACGACCACGACGAAAGCCGTACTGATAATCGCTAATCAGCTGGTGGCCCTCTAGATACCTCAAGAGCTGGCAATTAACAATCGATTCCATTATTTTGGAGAACAAGGAGGTTATGGCTATTGGGCGATAGTTGGACGGATCAGAGCGATCGCCTTTTTTAGGGATCGGATGTATCGAAGCGGTTTTCCAGCACTTCGGGACAGTGCCAAGCGAGTACAGGTACCGGAAAAGGCGCGTTAAGACCGGAGCCAACTCAGGAGCACAAGTACGCAGCACAATTGGGGGGATACCATCCGGCCCGCTCGACTTATGAATGTCCAAGGAAGATAGTGCTTTGCGGACAGCACGTTGCCGGAATGTAATTTCCGGCATCGAAGAATCACACCGCGAAATGGTCGGTGGTGATCTTCCTCGGTCATCCAAAGTCGAGTTGGACGCGAAGAGACAGCCCAAAAGGTCGGCCTTCTCCTTCGCAGTGTGGGCCAGCGAGTCATCCTCCCTGTGCAATGGTGGAATGGCGGGCTGACAAAAATTCCCTTGGACAGCTTTGGCAAGAGACCAGAAGGCTCGAGTCCCTGAAGGGAGTTGGGCCAATCTCTCGCCAAATCTGGCAATGTGCTCTGACTTTGCCTTAGTGATTTCCTGTTTGAAGGACCTGGAGGCTGAGTTATATGCTTTTTTAAGTTCGCTGGTATTGGCATCACGAGATTTCGCCGCTTCCGCCCATGCCTTAAAGCATTCTCGCTTTCGGCACGAGGCCGCCTTGCAAGAACGTTTAAACCAGGGCTGAGACTTGCCACCGATCGGCACCGCAGAAAATGGAATAAAGAGTTCCATGCCCTGCAGAACCACTTCGGCGACAGAGGCAGCGACGGAATCTGGAGCTTCCGACGAAAAGCACATAGGCCCCCAAGGGTAGGCCGCAAAGAAAGACCGCATCCCGTCCCAATCTGCTGACTTGTAGTGCCAAATACGGCGACAACCCAAAAAGCGGGGCCGTGAAGGGCGCGTAGAAGGCACAGTACTCCGGACCACACAATGATCTGATGAACCCAATGGTGGGTCAACAGAGACTTGATAGTTCTCCGGATGTGAAGTCAGCAGAAAATCCAACAAAAGGGGTTTATGACCATCCACATCTGGTATTCGCGTAATCGCAGGGACCATTTGTGTCAGGTCGTAGGCTAAAGCAAAGTCATGAAAGGATCTTCCCGCGTGATCGGTGGTATCAGAGCCAAGCCAATCGGCATGGTGGGCGTTAAAATCGCCAAGTATCACGATTTCAGCGGTAGGAACCCTTTCGAGCCGTTTGAATGTGCTCGATGAGTCGGTTAGTTTCGTCATTTCCGCTATGGGACCTATACAGGCAAGGGCTTTCAATTATCTCCAAAAATTTCGTGACGTAAAACTGACGTACAAAAAAATATAAAGGATTTTAAAACAAATGGTACAGAACTAATCTAAGCGTACGACCAACCAGGCTCCAGAAGATGATGAGAAATATCATTAAATAAATTAAAAGCTCTCTTTTAACGTAAATTAATCAATAAAGCTTTTTTATAAATTTGACGAATATTTCGATGATCCTAATCCTTGGGATTGATTTGCTCCAGTTCAAACAATTTGTATGAGTCAAAACTTAACGATTAAAAAGAGATTCTTGCCAGTTCGTCTTGCCCGCTCTACGGCCTTGACTTGCGAACTGCTAGTAAATGTAAACTTGCTAGTAAATGTGATACAATTAATTTAACTTCTTTTCTGACGTTCATAAGTGTACTTGTTTGCCTATATGAATAAAGTTATTTTGAGTTTGAAAGAGTATGAAATGAGGTTTCACAGGGTAATTAAATGCTGACACACCAACATAAGCAAGTGTTTTAATAAGTTACGAAATGGTCGCTTAGCTGCAGGTTTTACTGTATACGGCTACGTAACAAAGAGTTTTTGACAAATTTATTCCATACATCCAGAGGCAATAAAAGCCTTATTTGACCCGAATATTATTAAAAACATTTAGAAAGTAGTTAACCTGCTAAAAAAATATATCATTTCACGTTAAACGAATTCGAAATTGTGATTGTTTTTCGTCTAAAGCTACGATCGACAAGATTTTTACTTAATAAGTTAATGCCAGTCGTTAGAAACCACACTCCACGAGGCCCATGGTACTGTATCTCTTGTTAAAACATAAAAAAGATAGTATAATTTGTCTTTCTTTTTGGGTAGTTGGATACTAGGGTGTTTAAACAGACAAACTTTAAATTAACTAAAAAATTGAAGACATGTGTCGGGCACGGAAAGTTGATCTTGCCTTTTAATAATATCAATCAAAATAAACCGTTTTCCGTCTATGGCGACGAGATTTATTTCAAAGTTAACTTGCGAATACTTAATCAACACAGCGGCTATAACTTAAACTAATATATGTATTAAATAAGTATATACAGATGAGAAGTGGTTAAGTTCAACACTAGTAATACTTTGTTTAACAAAATTCTACTCCAAGTTCGCTCATTTCGTTGTTTAATCATAATGCTTTAAAATAAATCGTACTTACAATGAAAATAATGATCACCCCACTGGTCCACTATCCAACATCTACTTTTGAATAAATTAATGGTTCGTGAATGCAATACGATTTTTTACTTTTCAGCAAATTGAAATGCTAAAAGCGAAAAACGCATTCGAAGTTACGTTAATTTTTACTAATTTTTAAATCGTACTTAGCGTACAACGCTAGTACTCTACCATTGAAGCGTCAGCTGTGGGTTCGTCGACCTCCAAGCCACGCCCCCGGGGGGAAATGTCTAGATTTGGTCGCGATTTTGCGTATGTTGATGTAGGGCTTTGGGGGGATTTTGTTTTCGTCTACCGAGTCCTTTGAGGGTTTAGAAAATTTGCAATTTTCATGCTTAAGAGATCCGAATTGTAATTTTATACGGGCCTGTTTGGTTTCCGTATTACACGTACCGGATATGCGACGTAAGGAATATTTTATATGCAATAGCATGGTTTGGTTCAAGAAATATTGGGACGAACGTTTAAATGTAAAATAGTTTGTTACTAAATAATTAATATTTAATTCCAAAATTTTAAGGAATTTTTTGTATTATCTTTATTTTCACTAAAGATTCTAGTTTCATAGACCTTCTAATGAAACTAGAACACGTGCTTGTTTTATATAAATACCAATATGGTACAATTTATTAGAAATTACTCGAAAGAATAAAACCATCGTCTAACTAATAGGATTATTGTTATAAACATTGGCAATTTGTTTGAGTTATAGCGCGGTTTCACCTCCAGACATTTCACCTTTGCGTGGTTTTATGACGGCGATCTATAATAATGTAGTCTGTGATTTTAAATGGAGGCATTTTCTGGAGGTTCATTATATTAATTTATTTTTATTACTTAAGTTTAATGCATAATATAAGATGATTGTATGTTTATTTGTAATAGGGTACTTAACGTAAATCCTATTAGAATTCCTTATTTTATCAGAATAATTACCTTGGTAGCTTTACAAAATATGTAAGTACCTCTGTTCTAATTGTGACTTAAGGGAAAACT